TGCTTTTCACATCAATAGAAGGGCTTTTCTCGTATTTTATTCCGGCATTTCATCCACCGAAAAATATCTCTGACAGTGACACCAAATGACTTTCCACTTGAATTGCCAATACTCGATCTTTTTCGCGCTTTCACTGAATTTCTCCATTCGCTTTTCGCCTTTATGTTCAATGCTTTTCTTCCCGCAAAAACGAGTGAAGGAGAAAGAAAAAGTGAGAGAGAGAGAGAGAACATGGTAAAAAGACTTCGTGTATGAAAATCGAATTTTTGCTCGCGACATTTGCAGAGTTGGGCAAAAAAAAAGTGTACAAACTCTTAGGATGGAAAAATGCTTTAGTGCCCGAGAAAGAATGTCTTGGGTTGAGAAGATTGAGGTGAGAAAGGGGAGTGTGGGGGGGTGGAAAGCCAGAGAAATAATTTCCAGACTGTGTGGCATTTCTTTTCATGGGACTATTTTTCATTCTCCACGGCGTCTTTTTCGTGGTTGTGCGCGCGGATTGACAAAAAAAGAGAAGAAATGAACACACGGGAAAAGTATAAATGGGGAAAAATGATAATTTAGTCAATTCATAGATGAGGAGCGTGGGGAGGAGAAAAAAAAAGAGAGCTCGGCTGGGTGAGAATTTTCAGGAAGCTGCGCCACATCCGCGAAAAACAAACCGGAAATCATTTTCCATAATTCGTTCGCCAGGAGAGGAAGTTCATAAATAAACTATCAGATGGTGTGCAAGCGAGGGGCAATTGATTTTTTCCCGGTTCGTTATCAAAACGATGTGGCAATAAAAATAACTTACACATCACAATCGATAAAATTGAGCGAGGGTGAAATGGGAGGCAAAAAGGCCTCAGATATTCAGCATTCTCTCCACCCTTTTCCAGCCTCTTACACACTCATTTCACCATGCTATCATACTTAGAGGCTGTCTGTTGTAGAAAAATACCCACACTTTCTGGGCTCGAGAAGTGGATGTTGTAGTTTTACACACGGGCAAAAATTGAAACTTTCCTCCAAACTTCTCCGCGTGTCTTTCGCCGGAGATGCCATGAAGAAAAAAAGCTGAAAATCCCTCTAATTTCGGTTCAATAAATTACGCAACATCACCCTTATCACCATTCCTCTATTATACTACGCGTAAATAATGCTCAATTTTTCTCTGACACGCACGAAAATATACACAGACTCACAATAAATTTCAGGGCAATCACGAAGGGGGTGAAAGAATCCCAACAAGAGGAGGCGCAGGCCTACTAGAAAGGGTGGAATAGGTGAAATGGAAGAAAAATCTCTTCGCCGGAATATTTCTGGGTGATCCATTCGCCCCCATTCGCAATTTCCCAGAGGGAGGCAACACAAAAGTGGCCAGAGAATGATGATAAGAGACTCTCTCTCAATCGATGTCTCCTCCATGGGCACCACAAAGGGTTGCGATGAGTTATTTCTCACCGTGAGGCTGACGCGAATTCGCAGGGGATGAATTGCCTGTGGATAAATATACATATGTGTGCGCTCTTTTCTCCACCCCGTGAAAATACATGATTGAGGTGAATGCTTCGTGGCATGAGAGTGTCGCCTTTGGGGGTGGAAAAGTGCCCGAACAGACGAAATTCTGTCTTTCGAGCATTTCCTACAATTCATGCGAGCAACACTGTAAAGAAAATTCACCTTTGGCACTGCGAAAGTCTAGAGATTCCTTAAGGGATGGATTCTTGAGATACTAAAACAATCCCCGGGAAATTATCAAAGGGAAAATCACTAGTCGATTTTTGATGAAAGTTAATTAAATAATACAAATTTGATCAAAAATATCCAAAAAAATCAAATTATATTTAAATATTTTCTGGATATTTAATTAAATTTTAAATATTCGATTATTTTCTGCACATATCGCCGCCAGAGGGCAGCAGAATTGACGTGGGGGACGCGTAAAATATCGCATTTCTCGCATAATTTTCACTGTCTTCTTGCGAATTTTCACACTTTACGGCTTCCTGACAGGATCCTGAGTCAGGATTACAGATCTGTCATCAGCTGATTAAGCTTGAAAGGCATGAAAATGTTCCGATTGTATTTCCCAAAGGCGAAATTAACCTTGAAGAAATCCAAATCCGACTTGTAGCAAATTTATGACTTTTTATATTTTTCAAAATGTAAATAAAAATCACGTAAAATCCAAACAGAAGTGAGGTTATGTTGATTGCCGAGTGAAGAGTCGCTCTGAAAACGTCTCTGGACATTCTTTTCATGCTTGACAAGTGAATTTCACCTCTTAAATTGAGATTTCAATTCAAATCTAACGACATTCACTCAGCTGATGAGGAACGAATTCAAAGTCTTTTCATCGAATTTGTTGTCAAAAATGACCTGTCATTGTAGCGGAAATGCCATTCTCTCTGTTTTCCCCTCAAAAGGCAATCGTGAGAGGATTTATTAGGGTAGCTATTAACCCCCTGATTCCACCTCCGCCACTCAAACCACCCCCGATTTGATGGGAGGCTGCGAAGAGCGTGGGCAAAAAATTCGCTTACACCAACAATTTCTTCTGCATTGAAAAATGTCGGACTATTAAGGCTGATCTTCTCACACCATCGCGCACGCCACGCCAACAATCTCAGGCTGGTAATCCATCGTCATTGTGGAGATCATGCGTCGCTTTTCTTTCTGTTTATTCTCTCTCTCTCTCTCTCGTTTCCATTCCTCCTCGGCGCAAGACGGCCTTTGATGTAGAAGGAGGCGCACAAGTAAGTGTGTGTCATTGTTCCATTGAATTTTCCGCCGGAGTTTTCTCTGGACGTCCATGAATAATTTCTCTTCTCCAGCGCATAACTGTGTGAGAGTCTTTTTGATTCATTCCACTCGCGCCGGGCGCCTAACATATGTCGGGGATTGAGGAATGGGTGGGAAGACGTAAGGACATTTATCACAAAAGCTTTAGAGAGATGCTCAGCCATCTCTTTCTGTGTGCTCGGGGAAGTTGGTCGAGGGAAATATGTTTTCCGCTTTCCAATTTGACATTTTCACATTTTGCCTCATAAATATACAAATTTCTTCACACTCATGCGACTGTACAAATAAAGTGGTTGGAAAATTCACACCAGCCATTTTTATTGCCCAAAAAGTCGACCTCATAAATATAAGTGAACTAGTTCCCTGATGATTGCGTCAAGTGTGTTGATCTTGCTTGAATAAATGTCTCCGATAGTCATGAATTTGCACGTGCTGCAATTTGGTCAAGAATCGACAACAGCACGCGCTCTTATCGCGCGACAAAAGCTACAGGTTCTCCCAAGGGGGAGATAATGTGCGATTCTTTGTATTACCTTTGACTTAAACTTAGCTCCTTGGCACAATCAAGGGATTTTAATTCAACTTCGCTCGCTATTCTGAACCTTTGAAGTTGAGAAATATGAGAAATTGCACTAAGGTCTAACATAACCTCAAAAATAGCATTTCACACTAAGATAAATGTCAATTTATTATGCTTCCAAACAGATTTAAAGCTGGAAATCAGCTTGTTTAGGTCTATTTCTAGATTAAACCCAAGTAAAATGAACAATCTTGTCCTAGAAAGCTTTAAAACTGAGTTTTTCAGGATTTCCTACAAACATTTTTTAGGTTATGGTTGGAAAATATGCCCAAAAGAGCTGCTTTTAGTGCATTATTACATACATTTGAAGTAGAAACTTAGGAGATTAATAATTTTTGAGAAAGTTTGTGACTAAATTGTGAGGTTATGAATTTGGCTTAAAATTAATTAAATTAGAAGAAATGGCGAATATTGCCACCTTAAAGCACAAACCGCGGAAAAACCTTTGCAAAGAAGTATTTTTCTCGACTAATGTGATATTTTTGAGGTTATGTTTGTCTCTTAAGCTTTATACAATGCTAAAATCCATCAAGAACAGGAGAAATACTTCCGGATGAAGGACAAATTTCATGATATTGGTAGTTATTTGATAAACAGAAAGTGTTTAAAATCAATAACTGAACCTATAATAGCAATAAAATGGATGTTATGTCTAAATTTTTGCCCCTTGGCTTCGCACGGTGTCGCGATTGATGGAGGATAGATTCATTGGAGACAAATGTTGGCGTTCGAGAATCATTCGCGGGCGCGCGAAGGAGTGGGTGGTGGATAAATATGCAGCAACATAAAAGTGTCAACAATAAATTCTTTGCGCGCTCAACGAGAAGATGCATCCTCGTCGTCTGCTGCATGATTCATGAATGTAATGGACCATTATAAGAATATTCCTCTGTGCCGACAATGAATTCATCGGCGCACAGTGAATACAGCTCTTGCCAACGAGGTATTTTGCTTGCAACAGTGAATATATATTTTTCGTATCGCACGACTTTATGGGGAGCACAAATAGTCTGCTACATGCATGGAATGTGACGGGCGGAAGGGGAGGAAATGGACGAATTATGAGCTCTAGACTTTATTGTCCCTTTTCACCCCGGACTCCAATGCGCTCAAGTAGATGCCACAACTGCCAATCCGTTTCTGGTTGAAAAATTCCTCAGCCCCAACTCATAACTCACCCAAAATTGACTCTTAAATATCCACTGACCTTTTTTTCCTCCCTTCCGACGAATGTATATTTAGCTGCGCTGAAAGCGCGAAAGAGGCAACAAAACGGGTGAAAATTAGGGAACAATTCGAAGGGTGATTTATGGGAGTGATTTATCAAAACCAAATTTCACTTATACTTATTGACTCCATCGAGTAGTCACAACAAAGTTCACTAAAATCACATGTCGCTGCATATATTTTATGTTAACAGCAATTCTCTCTGGTGATTTTGGAGTTGATATGAAAACTATGATGATGTGAATAATAAATATGCAACTGAAATTGCACAAGTGATGACAAACAAAGGAGAAATGGTGGAGATTTTCTTTTGAACAACAATTGCTAAGCAAAGCAAATCGCACATTGAATATTCAAAATCCATTTTTCATTCATCTTGACTGAGAGAAGCTTTTCTGACTCTTTTCAGATCCCGCGAGTCTCGTCCTCCACCTGTAAGGTCAGTGAGTATTATTGTTGTGTTAAAACTCCCTCTCTGGGAAATGTTCCTCCCTCAGCAGCTAATGCAATTTTTACCCTGGAGCGAACACGTGTCTCTCGTCTTCCACTTTTCTCCCAAGGGGGAGATATTGTGGTGAGGAGTGGTGTACAGCTCCTGGGGAAGCATTTGGTAGCGGAAGTGTGTAATTTTCTTCAATATGGTGCGTTTAAGAGACACTTTCAGAAGAAAATTTACACAATCTTTTTGTCATTTGCCAATGAATTCACTTTAATAATGCTAAGATTGATTATAACCTCTAAAATACTGCGTTTCAGGATACAATATTGTCTTCTTTAAGAGCTGTTTGATTGATTTTCTACTCATTTTTAATTTATTACTGATCATTATTCCCATATTTGTATTTAAAACGTTTCGAATAAGTTTTTTCTCATGGATTCTTTGAGTATTTCAAGGTAATTTTTAGGTTATGATTCAATGTGCATCCAAAACTTCAAATATTTCTAAAATATACTGTTTCTCTGTTAGTTTTCAGAATCATACAAGTGAAAATTGCGTCTTTTTTTTATCAAAAGACTCCTAAATTTGTGGTTATGTCACTCTAGGCGGTAAGGAAAATCTCTAAAATTCAAAGTGTCTGTGATTCTGGCACAGAATTTGTGAAAGTGCCTATCTCCCCCTTGGTTTTTCCTTGCTCTTTCCCCGGCCAGTAATTTTCTCAGTCCGGAACACGTTCAGGTGTGGGAAAAATTCACCTTAGCCTTTATTACATGGGCATTAGGAGTGGAAAATGTCTTTTTATTGCCGTGCGTCGCTCTGGCCCATTATTAGTTGTGTCACATGAAAAGTGGGGAAATATTGCGTAAATCCTGCGAGTGCTCGGGTGGAAAAAAAAATGCCGAGACGGTGAGATTTCATTAATTCCGTGGGGCGGGTGGCGCCCCACCCACTCGGCGTATCTCGTGCGTCTCGGGGAGGGATTAGAAACCACTAGACAGTCGGATTAAGTCATACTTAAGACAGTCTCCTTCCGGACGAGGAAGAATTCATGGCAGGAGTCGCAAGGGAAAAACCACCCTCATGCTCTTTGAGCATTGCAAGAGTGCCGTAAGTCTACAAGAATTATTATCACTGCCACAGACGACATAGTCCAAAGTGTAACTAAATTTTCACTCAATTTCCGAATGAATTAATTCATAAGATATGAGGTTGGCAAGATGCTTAGTAAATTGAGAGCAAGTCACCATTCTCAGCCCGCTTGCCAAAGACACCCTTCAGAGTAATTTCTCTATCAGGAAAACTTCCCCATGTTTCGTCCGGAGACACAATTCACATACATTTGCTCATATATACCTTTTGCCCACACAGATTCGCAATTTTGTATTTTTCCTTTGAAGCATTTTTGCCAAAGCCAATTTCTGCGAGTCCGCCTCGCACAATCGAGTTGAAAAATCTGAATGGGTCTCACTGCCATGTTCAACCCTCAATTTTCCACACCATTTTCAATTGAGTCCAATTCAGAGGCAAATAAAGTGGCCCCGGAGGGTCACAATTTTTCCATTAATTGAACTTTCGGTGTGGTATTTTGAACCCCGTCTGCGTCACGCTGACGCAACGCTGAATCCCTTCTTTTGGGCGGTGAAAGCGCGCGAGAGGCAAAATATGTATTTCTATTAATAGCCAGAAAAAAAGCGCGCGCGCTTCGTAGGGTGAAAATTCCAGTGCAATTTCACTGTTTTCACCATGTGCAATTACAATTAAATGTTTGAAGGGCGACACAGAGTGACATAATGGGCACAAATGAGGAAAAATCTCATTTTGTCAACTGTCGACTTGGGGCATTTTTTGCTGCCAAAATGCTCCAACTGTAATTCACAGAGGGTGAAATTTTCACAACAAGAGCAATATTTGCAATCACCAGGCGTCTCCATTGAGAATTTTCACACCGAAAACCATCTAGTTTTCGCTAAACACTTCAAACACTTCTTAATGTCTTAAAAATTACATTTTTGAGACGTTTTTTTTAATGATCTCCAATCGAAAGAACTGATATTAAAGTCCCAGAATTTGTTCATAAACAGTTTGTTATTTTTATCAAATTGTGAGGTTATGAAGCCAACTTCAAAAATCCTTTTTGGACTAATTCTAATCCTTTCAACACTGAAAATGATTAAATATAGCAAATATAACAATGTTTCAGTGTTTTAAAGCAAAGAAATATTTATTAATTAAAACTTAAATGACATTTTTTAAGTTATTTGAGGTTATGAAAGGCTTTAAAGCTGATTTCTACTACTGAAAATTAGCCAATCTGGAAATTTTTCGCACGCAAATGCTTAACTTTGCCGAGAAAGAGAGAAATTTTTATTATTTTAAGAGCGTTTTAATCACCAAAATCATGTATAAAATGTTTAAAATCAATCACATAACCTAGAAAAGCAATAAAATTGATTTTTCATAAGTAAAATACATTAGAAAATGCCTCAATTTGTGGAGGCATCCAAGCTGTACACCACTTTTGAGGATAAACATAAAGTTTGTATGTACTAAAAATGAGGGGCAACAGAACATTTATGCTGCAACATAGGCGGGTGGCAAAAGCCCGAGGAATCAATTGGATGTGATGAGAAAAGCTCCTCCTGAGCACACATCCCCCGAGAAGTGGCTCAAAAGTGGGGGGTGGAGAAAAGGGATAAAGTGATTTCAATCACGCTGGGGAAATTCTCTGGTGGATGGTTTGAAAATCGATTTTCCAATTAAAGTTTCCAACTCTCGAGTATCGGTGGCAAACATAGAATACACATGTAAAATTGGCAGTGATACCCAAAGTGGGGCACTTTGGTAGAGAAATATGGGCTTATCAATCAATTTGATCCAACACACAATTCTTCTCTTCCAATACCCTTCTTTCTGGGTGTTGAATCACAAAAGTAATCTCTTCATTGCGACCATCCCGAAGCTTCTTTGGCCATCCTCAATTGGCATTTTATGCATCGACAGTGATAAATGTGGCACAAGCTCTGAGGTGCGCTCAGAAAGGTGATGTATGCAATAAAATTGGAAATTCCTTTCCTATAACATCTTTTTCCAGTGAGCAAATCGTCCAAACTTCCTCCGCGCACAACGAGAGGTTTTCGAACATTTTCCACCATTGCTCACAAATTTGCTCAATTTATCAATTTGTCTGGTGAAATAATAACTTTTCGCAACTCCAATGAATTCCCAACGAATTCTCACCCATTCTTTCCTTCTCAGGCTCTTGGCTTGAGCACCTTGAGATGGAGATCTTGCGCCAGAAGATTTCACATTGAAGTTGGGATTTGTTCCCCAATGGCAAAATGTTCATGTTTCATTCCAACATTTAGCACAATGGCTACACTGCCACTGCGTATGTCACGATCAGGCGAAATATTCATCCTCAACTGAGGAGTTGTGAGAGCGAAAAGCCACTTTATGCATTCATTTGAGCGCATCGACAATTGTCTGAGGGACTGTTTTGGGAGATTTAGCATGGAATTGAGAAGGAAGTCCTTCTTTTACCCACAATGGGTGAAGGAATATGAGAGAGCCTGAGTGGGCGGGGGGGAGGGGAGAGAAATCCTGCCATATATCACTTTAGACATTTTCTAACTATACTCTTGCAATTTCCATTGAGAGACATTGTGAGAAAATCTGTGTGGTGTGGAGAGAAAAATTGTACTCCGAACCGGAGAACAAGCGATTCTTGGGGACTTTCAGAGACCCTCATCCACCCACTCTGCTCTCTGGATGTCCTATTTAAAGTTTTCGGTGGATCCCCGACAAGGAAGGTCCCCTGGCACAGGCGGAGGTCGCCTCAATGTCTCCCCAGCTTCCTTTCCCGCTGCCGGGGAAATTCCTTCAAGCAAATGAAATGAATGTGTGCAACAGAGCGACTTCCGACTTCTTCTTCTGCAACACTTACTTGGGCAATCATCATCGCCGTCATTTTCATCTCAAGCGCCAGAAAATTTTAAATACCACTTCTTCCTTTTGAGTCTTTTCATTTGTTTTCATCGCAACATGGAAAGACAGACGGAAGAAAATTCCATGAGAAAGGCGAAAGAGATTTTCTACTTTACAGTGACTTTTAGTGAAATTTTCCACATACAAGAAAGAAAATGCAAAGGATGAAAGAACAACTATTCACGGGATTGTCGGCATTCCTCTAATCCCATATTCATCTCTCCATTCAAGCTACTTATTAAGCCATAAGCTGTGAGATAAAGGAGATTTTCAGCTGCATCTCACAAAATAGTTTCGCAAAAGATTCCTTTGAATGCGTGTGTGTAGTTAGGATTTCATATAACAACCGATAAGGAAATAGACAAGGGGGAGATAATACAGTCAGAAGTGGTGTACAGCTCAGAAGAAGCGCTTAAGAAGTGGAAGTGTTCGAAAACTTACAATATTCTTATGCTGAGTGCATATTTAACTGAAAATGATGTCAATTCTTCGAATTTTCTAAGATTTTCACGCAAAATCAACCATAAAAATCTTTTTTTCTAGGTTATGTAACGTAATAAATTCTTATGTTCAAGTCAAAGAGATTATTTATTATGCAATAAAGAGTATTTTGAACCTTTGAACTCAAACATAACCTGAAAAATAATGATTTAGACATAAAAATGTTCATTTAGAAAACTTTCACTTGACCATTTCGACTCTTAATTAGTAGTTTTGAGATCATTTTGTGATCTAGAATGTTTCGAAACGAAGACTCTGAAGATTTCTAAGTTAGATTTTGAGGTTATGGTCGGAAAAGATGTTTAAAAATGCGTTTTTTTTATTGCTTCTTACAGAAATATCGAACGAAAACTTGAAATTCATGTGGAAACCATCTAAAAACTTCCAATTCTAGAAGTGTCAGGCAAATTTGGTAGTGTTTAAGGCATATTATCTCCCCCTTGGAAATAGAGTGTCTCGAAATTGGCTTGAATTTCGCCTGGAAATTTGCCTTATCTTGTACTTCAAGTGACACT